TAACAGGGGATTTCAGAGATAAGGACATGAATATGGTGAACGTGTACAGTAGTCAGAGTGGGGTAGATAAGATGTGCAGTTCAAGGATTTGTGGTTCAAGGTGGATTTATTGTAGTTGGAGTCTACAAAGATTCTGACAGTGAGTGTCACATCATCAGAGGCTAGTCTGTTTGAGTTGAAGATCAGTTGGTTGTTCTGTACTTGTGAACAGCTTTGTCCAAGACACTGTCTGGTGTTGACGAAAGACACAAATCTGCATGTAAAATACTAATTGACAAGTTACTGTTAGATGGCTGGTCCAAACATAGTATACCATAGTCGGGGTTTGTACCCATGTACAGTCTGACACTGAGCTTACCACCCTTTTTACTGCATTCTACCCACCACCCCCACCTCTTTTAGTGCCGCCAGGCCTGTGTCTGTTGCTGCCTCTCTAATAAGAAACATTCGCACCCAGCACCATATAACCCACTAACATATCGCTACCTCTGATCTAAGACCAGTAAACACAGTCAATGAGGCAAGCCTCAACCACTTTACAGCTGCTATATGGTCACATAGCCCTGAGTTGTCATAACCCCTCATGTAAAAAACCAGTAAGTAAAAAAGGAGTACAGGGGGAAACAGCACTCTAGGGACTCTTTAAATATGTAGAATGCAAATATATCATGCATTGATCTAATAATGTGGAAATATCAAACAGATGTTGTATGATGTAAACAGAAATCTAGAAGTTATGTGTGTATTTGGTTAGGATGTTCAGATTCCCATTTGTCGGAGCTCTCCTTCATTCGCTGTTGTGGTTGCTTGACTATATAAGCAGTTCCTTTAGGTTTTCATGAAAACTTTAATGCAAGTTAAATGCATGTTTAATGCAAACAACCACACTCACCATCTTTAATCCCAATGCCAAAACAGCAAATTAAATTAAGTTCACCATTTTCCGTCAATGACCAGTTACAATGTGAAAAATTAACTTTTTGGTTGTAACTGAGCAGAAAGTTAATCTTTATATGTTACAGAATCTACCTGCTGCTTCTGTCTTCTCCTACATCATCTATAAACACTGGTGACCTGATGCCACTGGAAGCTATTGACGCTCATGCCATTGCACTGGCTCCACTATGTTTTACAGATGATGTTGTATTCTTCAATGATGAGCTTTTACAGATCTTCTGTATGCGTTTTCTTCTTCCCATCATTCTGGTACATTTTGAATTTAGGGTAAAGATGGAGAATGTTTTTCACCTGGCTGGAAGTCAGTCCTGCCAGTTACTGACCAAAAAGCTCCCAGGAGTGGTCGATACTAGCAGCTAGCATCGACCACTCCTGGGAGCTTTTTGGTCAATTTTATCAAGAACATCTTATAATGGGATCACTATAAGTGCAACGTTTGTGAACATTCAGACTACACCCATTATGAAAATATTGTTTTTAAACTCCATATGTATCATATATCATATCAAATCATACGGAGAGTTATGAGCACATTATGAGCACATTAAAATTTAACAGAAGCGTAAATACCCTGTCTAATCAATGAGTCAGGGCAGAGCTATGGATGTAGCTGCACTAGTCACTGTCTTCCACATGTAGATTTTCCTTTGCACCTGGGCGTCCTTCTTATTCTTAATCATATAAACTACAACACCTGTAGGTGTATGCTGCCCACTTCAGCACTGGAGGAATTGCAGACCGGGTACATATGTGGCCTAAGGTATCCACTGTAATGAAAAAGTACAGTAGCGAATTCAGAAAGAGTATTTTTCTCTATGTCAGACTGCACCTAACTTTGATCTTGACTTTCAGTTTGATTAAAACTAAATGAATTTAAAGTTTCTAGACTGTAATTATCATGACTGTAAATGGCCTGGCCTGTATTTATATAGCGCTTTTCTAGTCCTTTTAAGGACCCCAAAGCGCTTTACCTATCCAGTCATCCACCCATTCAGGCACACATTCACACACTGGTGATGGTAAGCTACATTGTAGCCACAGCCACCCTGGGGCGCACTGACAGAGGCGAGGCTGCCGGACACTGGCGCCACCAGTAGGCAACGGGTGAAATGTCTTGCCCAAGGACACAACGACCGAGACTGTGTCATTAACGTGTTGGTAAAATGCAGTGCTTAACAAATTTGTCATGGATAACAAGAAAACACAAATAATTTATAAATCTGTCAAAAACCTGTTTACAGATTTAAAAAAAATACAGTTATTTATTGGTCAAATAAACTAAATTCACAGTTTTGTATCCAAATTTGAGCTGTTACAGTGAGAAGTCAGAAATTAATCAAGCATGACATCCAGCCAAAGTATTTTTTCTGATCAGGAAATGAACTGTAGTTTGGCCACTTAATCAAAAAATAAGAATTTATCATTTTTTGTCTTTTTTTTTGTCTTTTTTCAGTAAATTGATTGGATATCTACTGTAATTATACCTTAGCATTTAAAATATTTTGATTAAAGGGTTACACACATTATAAAAACAAACACAAACATTTGTTAGTTACCAATATTGTTAATTTAGGGCGGCTGTGTCATAAACCTTACTCTGGGTGGTGGTCTAATAAATTAGTTATGCACTGTGTATCCTGTGAGAATCAGCTTTGTGGCAGTTCCCACTTTGTTATGTGTCTCCAGAGCCACATTTTGGCATTACAAAGTCAGCCACTCAAGTGTTGCAATGCAAAATGACCTCAAATTTGATTTTATTGTGCAAGGTGCTATTTCTGCATGCTGAGTGTCAGTACATGCCACATATAAATATAAGAACTTTTCACATTCATGGCATTTCACACAGTCTTTTTCAGCGTGTATATTGCTCATGTTCACATCATGATGCCGATGAAAAAGTGATTTATCGATTGGTACTTAGTATAGCGTTGTAACAGTTCCCCTGGTGCAGTGTGCACAGAATAGAATAGACTCATTTCATTTTGAGACTCGCCTGGATTCTTGGACCCGCTGTCTTTCTTTCTAGTTTCAGTGCTGCTGTTTTTCATCTCTTTCTCACCAGTTTTTGGTCCTTTAGATTTAAGTTCCTAAACATATTGTGAGCTGTACCCATTTTAACGGGTCTACAATTTGCATGGGGTTGGCCTTAGTTCTCCCTTCAAACTTTGTCCCCAAGCCTTTTGTAAACACACTCAATGCCTGGAAGCACTAAAATGCTGGAAGCATTTTAAATTGGTTTTAACTGCCTGCTACAACTGCAACATCTCAGTGTAGATTAGGCCTTATTGGGACTGGAGGGCATGTGGAAGCGTAGTTGACAGGATTAAGTGGCTATTGAAGTCACTTTAGCTCCTTTAGAGAGCGAGAAACATGAAAAGAGAATAACTCAGCCCCTCTTTACAGAAGGGATATCCCCTCACTTGCTTTCTTTCTTTCTTTTGCCCTCCTCAGGCAAAGAAAGACACCAATCTACCAATAGGACCCTCAGACTTCTGATACCCAGAAAGAGTACAGCAATGTTAAAAGGTGTTTTCAGGAACCTTTCCATAGTTGCAGGAGCTGATGAATGTAGTACCCTATTATTTCTGTGTCTGCGCAGCAGATCCTAGGTCCTATTGTAGTTTTTAGAACTCTGTTTTTGGAGCTCCTGCTGTCAGTGTCTCATAAGAGCTATAAGAGGAATTTTTAGTGACATAGGCTTTCGTGATGGGTACAGATATAAATACAGCATTGGCAACTACAATTAAAAACAGTGTAAACAACTTCTTTCTCAACAGAGAAATGAACTGACAGTGACTCCCAGGCTTTGAGCCTGTGTGCACACAATTACCTTTGGGTTTTCATTCACACAGAATCGATTTATTTGAATATCACATTATCTCCACAAGAGGGCAAACCATATTAATGAGAGACATAAATATTTATTTATATAGAATGGACATCCGGTGCCCTGAGAGAACTCTGCTGTAAGAAAACATGAAACAACAATTGTTTTCATTAATGCAAAATGAGCAATACTCAGGAAGTGCTCAAATCCTCATGGATCTGTGCTTCATGAAGTTTCCCCCCCAAGCTTCTCATAAGGTTTAATAAATATCTATTCGCACAGATCAGGTTCCACAGTTTCGACCATATACCGTCAGTCTTTCTGGAGCTCAGCTGGGTTTTGAACTCTCTGCTGTCATTACAACACGATTGTTGTTAAAATGTTCCAGACCTGAAGTGACCCTACCTTCTTTGAGCAAAGGATCAGCAGGTATCAGGGAATTTCCTTCTCTGTTTCTTTTTAAATATTTTTTTGGCTCGATACCAAATGTTAGCTGACTATAATATCTATAATTTACTTACTATTACCACTGACAATGCAATTTGTGACTTCGTAACATGGCATACTTGCAATTAAATTTTAAATTGCATTATCTTTATGTATACTTAGTCATTTGGGAATTATGTGACTAAAAGAACACATTATTATGTAAAATTGATTTTTACCTTCAGAGCTCATGGTAGGAATAAAGATCCGCACTTTTAAGACAAGTTTTTCTGTGACTCAGCACTAAACAACAGTGACTCTGATACTCATTCACTTTCTGCCGTGCCTAGATATTCAGCAGCGTGGCAATAATTAGCATATGAGTGGCTCGGTGTTTGGGTGAGTTTGTTCTCACAAAGACTGCCAAAGCACAGGTCAGCGTCTCTCATTCACTTCAATGAAAAGCTGAAGGGCAAACAGAACTCCCAAAATGAAATGCATCCAGACTTTCACTCAAGTCTGAGTGAGTCCTCCTCACTGGATCTCCATGAGTGTTATAAACACTGTACATATATTATGAATGCAGCAACAGCCTTTAATTATTCATGGCCCTTAGCTACTTATTGATACTGTGTGTGCTCATGAGTAATATATGCACCAGAGACATGAATTAGTGCATTCATAGTACACCTGCCTGCCATTTCTATGTATGTACTCTGTGCACCAAAGCATGTATGTTTATGTCCTTACATCATCATGTCCTTAAGTATGTGTATGTTGTTGTTGACAGAAAGGGCGGGTGGCTCCGGGCCGCAGTCTGGCAGTTGTATGCTGAAGCATGGCGTCATCACTATCACTCTGCAGGCTCCTCTCTGCACTACATACCCCGCAGGGCAGTTCTCTACTGCCCTGGCAACGATGAGCGAAAATTGAAGAAACTAGCCTCACTGGATGTCGACTGTGCTGTGCTGGACTGTGAAGATGGAGTAGCCCTCAGCAAAAAGGTACATAAGTACTAAGATGCATGCTTGTAAATGAAATTCAGCTTGGTATTAATAGGATAGCGGGGAAGCCACAAACACTCCCATAGCTGTGTGATCTTGGATATATTTTAATTCCCATATCTCTCTATCAGACAGGTGCTTGGTCTTAATCACTCAAAGGAAAACTACCTAAGTGAGATGTTTATAACAAGCACATTTCACCCCATTATGATAGTATAAAGACAGCGCTCCCCCCCTCAACCGCATTAGAGTCATTTAAAACAAGGTGACCATGTCCCACTGGGATAGCAGTGGGAAAGCACCAGATGCAGCAGGTTAAAAGCATTCTCCTCCTGCCCACACTACCTCCTCATTGGCCCTGCTGGACTGCCCATGAAATTGTGATTGGAGAGTGGGATAAAGAAGGGGCCCGGGCAAAAAGTTAACTAACAAAGGTTTTTAAGTCATGATAATAAAGATGATTGATATGGCTGGAGGCTGTTCCTGTAGTAGACAAAGACAATAAGATGATGGCCTGTGTGACTGACAGCTAAAACTGTGACCCTGCGATGGTGTTGGTGGGATGTAAGAGCTTCTGTCTTTATTGTGTGATAAAGGGGAATGTGGAGAGGAATGCAGCACTGAAGGAGCCATTCAGGCTTCAGATGCTGGACTGTTGCACTGTCAGCAGGTCCATGTCCCCATCTTCCTTGTGTTTAAGCAGAAGTGTTTTGCTCCAGCATATTCTTTACACCAACATATTCATTTCACCTGAAACATGAACATTTTGGGGGGCTGAATTTGTAGGCAACAATTGCAAATTCAGAATTTTGTTTTTCTCATTTTCAAAAGGTCTCCTCTGTGTTAGCTACTGCTGGGTTGTGCCTATAGCCCCAGTATGTGCTTTTACAAATAAAGTGAAAATGTACATAGCTACAGGATATACCCATTTATTCAAACTGCAGAGTAATGTCCCTCAGCAGGCATACCACTCTACCTTCCACTACTACTTCTCTGAGTAATTCACATAAAAATACCAATACATTAAATTCTGGAAAATAGTATTGTCCACCAGTAGTTTCCTACCTAATAATCCCATTACTTTCTCCTGTCTGCACTACACTGCAAAGCAGAACATAGCGTCAGAACAGATTTGAGCTTTTGACACTTTTTGACATGTTGGCTTTCGGCACAGTGTGCAAAAAGTCTTGTAGCCTATTATGTGTTTGCTAGGTCGTGCTGTGTAATATAAAAATTAGTAATATACTCAATAACAAAATGCACCTTCCCTACTGGCACCCTTTCTTCACTTTCCACACTCTTGGCGTCTTTCTCCACTGTGGCAATTGGAAATCCATGGGGGATGTTGTGTAGTTCTACCTTCCCTTAAGATGATATTTTTTCCTTTTCGATGAACAGTTCTTTGTGTGAATGTGTGTGTGTGTGTGTGTGTGTGTGTGTGTTTGTGGGTTTCTGGGAATACCACAAACATTTGTTTTGGATTTATAAATTTCTATGTGGAAATGAGTTGACTGAAATAATTGTTTTACTTTTCACTGTGTGTTTAAAAAAAATCTTTTTCAAATTATTTTCATTACATAGCCTGGGGGGTTATTTATCGCGATTTTTTTTTTTGGACCCCTTTAAACCATCAAAGCCAGACTGACAAAATATTGTGTCTTAAGTCTGGCATTATTTTCAGCGGTTCTTGTGGAGAGAAGCAAAACACGTGAGGAAACAGGTGCTGATACAAATTTTTTACATTTATTGTTTTTGAGAAATTAAACAACTAGTTAAAGGAGGTGAAAAATCTTGTCAAAAGGTGTTACATGCTTCAGAGGTGATGCACTTCTAATGATGCACTTCTAATTGATGCCTGCTGCCTACAGAGGCTGTGTAATGGCTCATATTTGATGCTTTATGGTTATATCTACACCCAAAGCATACTTTTATGCTTTTATGATTATTTTATTCAGTTATGCACGCATAAATCCAATAATTGTTTATTAGGCTCTCAGTGCTGCTAAAACACAGACGAATTACCTGACAGCTCTGTACATAAACACACCTGGAGTCAGTGAAAGAGAACTGATGCTGCTCTTTTGACGGACGTTGTGCGGACCCTGTGTAATGTGCGCACACAGGTTGGTTGAGAGACTATTTACAGTTCATTGACATGAAAACTCAACACACCACTAAAAATATTATTAAATATCTTCAAAGGAACTTTTCGTTTAGTGCCAAAAAAACGTTGCCTGTTACTTTTTTCTTCCACGTCTTCCTGTTTTTATGTGCTTTCTCTTGCGGCTCGTGGCTCACAGTAAGTTTAGTCAAGTACCTACATTAAAATTTTTGCCAATTTTTGATGCGTTTTGGCTCCTGCTTAGTTTTAGGTTTGGATGTGTTTGTTGGAAGTCGCTGTGCCAAAAGCATCTGCAGAGTAAATGTAACTTTATGCAAATCAGATGCAGATGCTGCTGCTGGACACGCATGCATCTTACTGCCCAAGTAAATACCAAGCTCGATTGAATAATGCACTGACACAGTTGTGTGTACCTAGTGAATGGTAATTTGCAGGAAGCGTTGGAAGCATACCCCGTAATTGCTTGTCAAAAATATTACCCTTACCCTGTCTTTTATTAACACAATTTGAGCTGTGCGTTGGGACCAACTGATCTATAAATGGATGAGAGTTAGCTATTACAATGTGGGTGTGTGTCTGCTGACAATTTCAACACCGTATAGCCTAGAAACGATTATCTTCACCATGACAACTGCACAGTCTGCACTGTGGGTTTGGCAAGGCATGCCAGGCTTCAACAATGTCCTAAAGTCTCATAATGCATATCTAATGGGAGCAAAGCAATGACCCAGCTTGCTAAATGCCATTCTGAACCACTGTTTTGGTGAATATAACAATGGCGAGATGGCGAAATGTTGAGTGCAGTTACTGAGTATGCATGAGTAGGCCTTAAATGGGGCTACTGCCCACCACCACACTCCTATTATGTGTTCATTAATGTATTCTTTTCATTATCTTTCACCTTCACCTTAAAACAGGAAAGGATGTTCATGACAAAAAGGTACGTGGTGAAGGTCACTCTGGCCCCCCCTCCCCTTTTAAATTGAAATCCAGGAATGCTGGCTTTAATTGCCTGCCACTTTGACTCTAAAAATGTCTGCACTCCATCTTGGCAGTAATGCTGGCAGCTTAAGAGGTAGGGAGAAAAGAAAGGGAGTAAAGGGTAGGAGCCACCCAGAGCTTGCTAACTGTCGCCACGGACCCAGAGGGGAAAGAAGGAGGAGGTGAGAGGGGAGGGAAGACAAGGCTGACTGCTCTAACACTCTTACACATATCATCATATCTGTATGATCAGTGGGGTGGAGGAAAAGGGAGGGCAGGTTGAAACCCCAGAGCGGAACTGACGGCTACACCTGTCCTCTCTCCTCCTCACTCCCTCGCCGTCTTGTTCTTTACCGTCCCCCTCTCTCGCTTGTCTCCCCTCTCTAGGGTCCGCAGGGTTAAGATTGTTTATGTCTCTCTCCCCCCATGTTCTGTCTCCGTCTCTTGGTGCCCTTTGGTCCAATATTCCTCCTGGTGTTTCTCTTTCTGCCTCTCTTTTCCCCACATGGGTCCCTCCATCCTCCATGACTCCCCCCTGCCTCCCTGCCGCAGAGATTCTCTCCTAATCCCTGGAAGTTTGGAACTAATGAACTAACTGCTGAGCCGCTGCCACGGAGCTTGGTCCCAAACTATACTGTACTTCACACTCGATTTCCTCTCCAGATGGCATAGTGGCGCGGCCGGCACAACGGGGAGCACCTCTCACACACCCGCACGCGCCTGTAAATGCACACAAGACCAGCAGAATACAAACATGCACACATGCATGAGTGTGTACGTGTAGTCACATACGGACATTCGCACACAAGTACACACAGATAAACACATACACAGATTGTTACAGTTGGTATCCCACTGTACATCAGTGTCCTGCATTCATTTCAGTATGTTACTGAACTAGGAACAGTTGTTAGGGCTTGAAAGGAGGTAATTCACTTTAAAGTGTAGGTAGTATATACAACTAAATAGAAAGTCGGTGAATAAATGGAGTAATCAGAGGCCAAAGTAGTGTTTAAAGTGCTAATATGAACAGAAATCGGTCAGTAGTAGACTGTAAGATTAAATAAACAGAAGGTTGTGATTACAGCCATACACTGTACCTTTGGTTTTGCATTATTAAATCTCATTTATATATAATACTCTTACATTGGATGCACAAAGTCTTCAGGCCTCCATAGAATAAAATGCAAGGCAAACTAAAGCATTAACACATGAACAGAATATTGAATGTGACACTTTTACGACAAAAATAAACAAATAAACAAAAGTCTTGTTTGTTAGAGGGCAGTTGTCTATAGTTGGATAATAATGTCATGCGCCCCCTGTAGTCTAAGAAAATATGATTTTTTTGACCAAATTGACCATATTTCATATTTTCAAAATGAGTAATCAAATTATATTTACAGCACTTTACATTGACTTTACTTTGTGCTCTACTTAGTGACTTAGGAAGTGATGGTTAAGTGTACATGACAGCATCTAATTCGTAATGCATAGTGTTAAGCCAGACATTTCTCTCTCTTTGTCTTTTCTCTGTAATTCTGTTTTTACAGTAACACTAATATCCACTGGTCTTGGTACTTTCAGTTGAATGACACATTGTGGAGTGGATGTCATCGTTATAGTTGTATATTAACTTTATCTCATTGTCAGTCAATGCATGAGCTATGGTCTATGCATGAACTGTGTCTGACACCAGAGAATTGCAACTTAACATAAATTATGCAGCCAACTGTCAACTGATACGTGACCTCAGTTCACTGCTCACTGTGTTGTTTCAGAGGACACTCAAAGGCCCGCTCCCTGTTTAAGTGGATTCAAATGAATAAACTCTTGACAGAAAGTGCTCCTGGGGAATAATGGTAACCGGTAGAATTATGAATGCTAAACATTTCTA